AGTGTGGAATCAAGCTGTAAATCAAAAAATAAAAAATAAAAATTCTGGAGTCAATGGGTTCACCATAAGCTTGGAATCAGGATTTTCTAGCACCCCAGTCCCACCTAAGTAGATCTGGATGTCTATCATTCCGATTGTAAGTGTCAGACACTCACATTTGTCTTTTAACTTTCGTGAAGAACACCCCTGTCCCATATGGTGGAGGTAATGAACAGGACGTACCTGGAAGAAGAAGTGGGGTACGAACAGGTGGCATTACAAAAGAATTCTCCTTTATAAAGTTATTGGACAGAAATGGAACATTTTCAAGTATTGATGTTTTGTAGGGATCTTTTTTGATTGGTTGAAGGATTTCCAACTTCTGCACTCATCGAAGAAGACATTGCGAAGTATTCGGACTATGTCATGAATTAGCAGAAGTTAGAATTCATGGGCTGGCGGCTGGCCATTGGATCGTGTCCCAGTGGCTATTGAATTGTCTAAGAGCTCTAGCTCACCTTGTAACCTGATGGTCTTGGGTTCATAGTCCCCTGTGGCTAATGCGTACTGTTGAAGAGGGCTAAATTAGGACGAAATACCTGTTCAGTGCTCCGGAGCTGGTTTTCCAATGGTTCTCTAACTGATATCAGCTCATGATGAAATCCTCTAACCAAAGAAATGGAACATTCATTAGTACAGAGAATAATACAGAGATTCATTTTGTTTCGTTGTTTCTCGTCAACTGCGTACAACCTCTACTATTAAATAAAACCAATTGTCATACAATTTTAACATTCATTAGGAGTCAGTCATTTAGTAAAGATAGTTGTAAAAATGGTCATAATGAAACGAAACATAAGGACGATGATAAGGTTATCTGAAATTATAAAAGGAAAACTTTCTCGAAAAAGCATCCGTCTATTCCTTCTCTCACGGCCTCCTTTATGTCACCCTCAAACCCATTCTGAACTCGTAGTCTTCTACTCGGATGGCACTTGAGCAATGGCGCGGCGCGTAATGTCATTAGATGGTCTCTTCGGCGTGCGACCAGTCTGTCTCCATTTTCCTCTACATATTTGTTGACCAATCGGTTCTTGGCTGGTTCGTTCCTACAATTTCTTGTTTCTAATTCTTCCTGGCCAGTTGGCCATCTGCTTGGCTTGCCATCTCCCGGCCGACGCACACGGCTTTTGAGCGTCGGTGGCACAGGGTTAGGACGCTCGCTGACCATGCACATGGTCCGAGGTTCGATCCCCGGCCACAGGCGCACTCTTTTTACCTTGCTGAACTAGAAATAATGCTTATGAAGAGGCAAAGTTGGGCATGAGGCAGGCTAACAACCCTATCCTGGAAAAATAAACACTTCTACAGAAACTTCAAGGTACTAGCTTGAAACCCTATGTTCCACTGCCAAAAGTGGAGGAAAAGTAAGAGTAAAGCGTTGGAAAACCCTTTCGTCCTAATTCAGGACTCTTTAACAGTGCGTTCCCATCCGGTGTTTGAACTCAGGAATCCCCCGTTACAAGGCAAACTCGTGGACTATTCAGCCACCGGTCCATTTCATGATGTATATAGCATACCCACTGCGAGTAACCGTCATCTTACCTGACTGACATCAGTGGATATCACTTGTCACGACTTGTCACTAGAACCCCAAGCAACTTTCCATATATACATATATATTTTCAACCAGTTGCTAGTAAGTTTCAGAGTGATCAATTCAGGTGAGCGAGTGTCAATAGTCTCTAGTTTGAATCCCATGTTATATATGCCTTTAACAGTTTGTTTCATTATTCGTTGTTCATAATGATTTCATTTACCAACCACGTGGGTAATAACTCAAGGAGGACTAACAAATAAACGGGTGGCACTAAGGCCATTTGACTGTCAGTGATGAATAACCATCCATCCACCCAGACACACACACACACACGAACTCAAGCACACATGCCTCAGATGAACAGAACTCAGATAATATTAGTAATAATGAAACTGAGTCAACAGCATGGAAACTAAATCTCACATGTACACACACATATACGAATATACCAGGATTGCATAACCCTCTAGTTAGGGTTGTAATTACAGAGTCTATCAAGTTGATGAACAGTGAGAGGAGGGGCAAAGATAGTTTACAAAAATACATCCTAATAATTAAGACTGCTAATTATTATTTCAATAATTATTGTTTTGTATTTCATAACTTTACACCAAAAAGAGACTATTATTAATTTAATTTCACTTAGAAACCCGCCTTTCTAAACACAAAAAATTGTTTTGTTTAATTCTTTTGATTACATTGTACACTAAATTCGCGGATAGATAGATTGTCATAGAAACAGTTCAGGATAGCTACCTATATTCATATAAATGTCAAACTTTCCCCAAATGACAGAACGGGCGGGTGGGGTTGAATGTCAGGTTTGAATCTAAGCGAGAATAGTGATTTAAACCACCTAGACCAAATAGACATCAGATGATCAATTTTATCTATAAATCTTCCATAGTGGTATTTATTTTTCATCTGACAATGTCATTAGGATCAAGAAGAGTTACATTTTCTATGGTAACCTAATGATCCTCATAAGTGGGTTTATTGGGAACCTGAAATGTATTCACCGTTTACTTTTACTTTCAATTAAAAACTGTATAAACCTGTTTTGCTCATTCATACAAGTTTTTTCCACCAAAAATAAGTCTACAGATCACCAAAATGACATTTATTTCGTCCCAGTTTAGACCTCTTCAGTAGCCGTACTCAAACATTTCCATTACCAACTATCAAGTTTCCTCTTTAAGCTTAAATGTCAAGTCATTTAATTCCTGCTATTGTTCCCTTGAGTTCCTAGTGGAATATGGAGCTTCAACATCACATCTATTATATTTCACTCCTCTCTGTTCTTTAAAGCTTTCTTTGTAGACGGCTCCACAATTGCCTATAAGCATCTTTCATTATCTTTCTCATATGAGGTCTTGTATCTCAACCCATCGTTTCCCATTCATTCCCTTCTCAAATGATGGCCTGTTACACGTGTGTCTAATCTGTCTCCATTCCCTTCTGCTGTCTGTCTGAGTTCTTTGTGGCGTGTGCTTTTCTGTCAGTTTGATTGGTTGGACGATTTCTTCATGAGCTGCATTAGTTAGAGAACCGCTGGAAAACCAGCACTGGACAGCAAGCTGTCTCGCCAGCGTAGGTTGGGAACTCTTCATCAGTGCGCACCCACCTCAGTGAGGTTGAAACCCAGGACCTTATGGTTACAAGGCGAGCTAGCTAGTAGACCATTAAGCCACTGGGAGGTGAACCGATCCACTGGTCCAGTTCTCACAGCTGGTTTTCCAATGGTTCTCTAACTAATGTCAGCTCATAATGAAATCCTCCAACCAATCAAACGAAAGAATCCCTACAAAACGAATACCAGAAAGCATTTTCCGTCAGTTATCCAATCTTCAGTATCGAGTTAGATAAAGGGATAACTGCTGGTGGAATTCTACAGCGGTTTGTTTGAAATAATAATAATAATTTGCTTTATTCCAAAACACTACTTGTGATACAGAGTGGAATTCTCAGCATTTCACTGCAGTATTGCATCCAGTTAGTACATTAACAATAAATAAAATTCTTTTTAGATTATGGATAAACTCAATTAGTTTTGACAACAACATATTAACATGTCGGTAGCAAAGCCAAAAGTGATCAGAATGTATGAAGGTGTTAGAAAAGTAGATACTACTAGCATATTTACTGGCATAAGCGGTAACAAAAACGTCGAGATATACACAGTGTGAAAGAACGCAGAAGAATGTTTCAATTAGAGTTTGTAAGGAAGAAAGAAACAAAGCAACACATAACAAAAAAGAGAGAAAAGGAAAAGAAAGAAAGAAAACGTTGTACCAATAAATGATATGTGTTGAAAAGACGAGATCCATTTGTTCTACTGACTATTTAATAAGGTATAGGTTTCACGCCTAATGCTTTCTTTATCGCACAGAACACAAGCTGAGTAGGGCATGGTTGAGTTTTTGTACTTGCTAGTGCGAGCATATAGTTTTCTAAATAGACAGGCTTCTGGTTCTGCCTTATGAGATGCAAGGGGAGAGTTGTGAATGAAGAAGGTGGTGTGAGCTAGATAAAATGGATTGAGCCTATTTTTCACATGAGTCCAAGTGCCTGTCGACCAGAATATTAACAAGCTGGTTAAGTGGCACGTTGATTACCCGGCTGACAACCTTTAACATCCTACGTAATAAGCCATGGTCTTTCTTCAGTAGCCCAGGAGAAACTAAGGGGGAACAATAAAGAATAATAGGCAGAATACGGGAGTTAACGAATTGTAGGAGTAAGGGTTGGGTGGGTTATTCCAGAATGTCTCAACTTCTTGATGTAGAAGGTAAGACGGAATATTTTTTTAGAAATCGTCAAGATATGAGACGACCAGGAAAGATCAGCAAATAGAATGACGCCTAGGTATTTAATTTCTACTTGGTTTCTATTTCAGTGCCATCAATGTTGCACGCCTAATGATTGCTAACCAGTTTGTTTTGATCAGATTTATGCCTAAATTTGAAATTTACTGTTTGGCATTTAGACGGATTTTAGGTTAAGACCGTTTTCCTTGGACTCCTGGCTGATTTAGTTTGGAGCAGTCACTTTGACACTTGACAGGCAAAGATACAGTTAGGTTATCAGCATATTTGACAAAGTTAATGTCATTTGAAGATGGTAAGTCATATAGAAAGAAAGAAAAGAGAGGCGGGGAGAGTACAGCACCTTGAAGGACACCAGCTTCAGTGAGCACAGCAGGGGAGAATTTGCCTTTGTATACGGGATACTGCATTCTGTTAGAGAAGTAGAAATGCCACCAGTTTGTGTCATCGAGAGCTTATTTAGCAAGACATATCTAGGTAGAGAGTCGAAAGCAGAAGTGAAGTCGAGAAACTTTCTGACCAGAGTTTAATTGTAAATAAAGTCGAATTTATTCATTTTTAAACTTCGTTTTTCGTCTTTTTTATGCCTTGCAGATATGGAAATCCCGTATCCATCAGCATATTCAACGCCGACGACACTGAGTAATTCTCAAGGTAACAGTTTGAATAATAATAATAATAAACACTACTGCCATCTGCACAACATCAACACCTCCAATAACTTTGTCAACTTCAACTATTATTGTCAAGACAGACTCCAGTGAACCCTACAAAACAACAATAAATTCTTTAGACAATAATAAACCTCCAGAAAATTGTAGATTTCAACAAAATCATGACAATTATTTAAAATCTGAAAATCCCAACAATTTCAATGAAACCACCTTTACAAACTGCCTGTTACCTAATGAAACTGATGACATCAAACCATTAGACAGTTTGGAGATTAGTCCACAACTCTATCTCAGTGAATCTTCATCAAGTCTTGAACCAGCCTGTAATCTAATGAATGATTCGTCTGTCTGTTACAATGAACAGACTACATCCAGTACAGATTGGCTATCACAGTTATTTCAAACAAGTGTTGAATCAACAAGTTATGAAACAACCCTGTCAAAAACTTGTATAAGTCCATCTTGGAAAAATCAGGAGTATGTACATTATTCTTATACAAGTTCTACACCAGATTTAAATATTCCGCGTCACTATGAACAACCACCACCACCACAACAACAAGAACCAATGACCTTGGACACTGCTCAATGTGTTCAATTCCCTGATGTAACAAATTATGAAGCTGTGGAGAAATCAACACCATCCACTTGTTTCTATGGAAATATCAGTCAAAATTCTGAATGCTTTGACACAATTAGAATGAAAGAAAATATTGGCGTTTTATCAAATATCAGCTCAGATAACAACAATGTTCAGCCACTAGTGAACATTGAACAATCTGCTCCCATTCTACCGATGTACAATATTACTAATAATCTAGAATTAAGTAATCATATTCAAGATAAACTAGAAAGTAATACAGATTGTATTAAGCTACCACCTCCTTATTACTATTATTATTATCATCATCACCATCAAAATCAAAATTTAAATCAGAATCCACCTGTTGTTACCAATGGTGACGAACAAATATTCCCTTGTACATTGAACAACTTACAGTTGATTCAAACAAATGCACTGTCTAATTTTGAATTTAGGAGTAATAATAATAATAATCATAATTATAATAACAAGACACAAGATGACGATTTCTTTTGTCAACTGTGTTCATTAGAAAATTCACCACATGTTACAACAAATTCAACATTCAATTTATCGGATAGGAATTCAGTTTGGTCAAATTATCGTCAAGGATTAGACAATAGTATCCTTCCAAGACATGAAAATAATCATAATAATAACAACAGTATTAGTAATCTTTTCCAGCAACAACCACAAAACTCTTCACCATTATTAAACTTATCGCGTTTTCGTCAACGTGATCAATGTGTCAATGGCATTGAACATTTAATACCAGAGAAAAGAAAGCTGAATAAAAAACGCATTGATATTAATCCTCATGACAATGGTAAGTTTATGCCATTGTCTAAAACACTTTCATCGACATCAACATCGTCAGCAAGACATTCATCTAAGTCAATGTCATTGTTTCAAATTAGTCCTACCCAACTGAATACTCTCCTTCCACTGATATCTTGCAGTGAAATTTCTAGAATTCTCCATCGATATCAATCAGCAAATATTGAAACGTTGTTTCATACAATACGTATTGATAACCTGTCGGCTGGGAAGTCTTCATACCCAGTATCAGTGACATCAGCAAGAGGTAATCAAATCGCCTTTCGACTTAGAGAACAGAAAATATGGTCAGATATCTGTGTGCATAATACTGAAATGATTGCTACAAACACAGGAAGGTTAGTCAACTTATTTCGATTCATGCATCTAGTTTCGACCGCTTTCTACTTAAGTAATCTTTTCACTGGACTAGATGTTTCGTCCCAGCTTGGAAGTCTTCACCAGTGCATAATCACGAATTCTAATTGATGCGTCACTGAATTCCTTCTCCCCGCCTCCGAGTGGCTTTATGGTCAACGAGCTTGGTCTAATAATACCTGAAGGTCTTGCTTTCGATCTTTTGTAGTGGGGTTGAAAGTACGCATCGATGAAGAGTCCCAAACTAGAACGAAACTTCCAGTCCAGTGTTCCCTGATTTTCAGTGATCTCTAACTAAGGAAATAAATTGTTTATCACATAGAAATTATCCTGGTTCACTCTGATCTGTTCCTTAAAGATCACTGATTCGATCGATCGATAGGATGCTAGCTCATTCTTTCCGATCACTATACTTTATTCCAAACAATATGCGAACAGATAGTAGAAGCATTTTCAGAGTTATTTAGTTCCAGAATACTCTTTTCTTCATACAGGATTTAAATGTAAATTAGTCATCTGGAGGATATCTTCATTTCGTTGAAAAAATTGAACAGAGTTTACTTGGATGCAAGTTAAATTAGCGAGCAGTTTCATGTTTAGAAGGTCATTCGATATAAATGAACGATTAAAACAATGAGATAAATTGATATGAAATTAAACAGTTCGTTAGCCCAGTGATTCAAGCAGGCTGAAAATGGGATCTTATATGAACTTTTTCAACAGGATTATCACGACTGAAAATTTTATTCAAGTAACGTTAGTTAAGGGATTCAACACTCGCCGAATGCTAATATTTGTGAAAACTTTGTGTATTGTGGAATATATAAGTCCTTTGCGATCCAAGCAGAATATAGACCTTCATGCTGTAGCGCTATGGAGTTTCAATCGCAATGGTGCTTTTTGTTATTACGGGATGGGCAATAATAACTTTATTCTAAGCAGTGCTTGTATAATTTACAGAATTTTTCAACGGAAATTATTGTATGGTAGTTTCTTCATGTCCAGGATCTTTAGGCGTAGTAGCAATTGACAGTGAGTCATGTGACACACTGCTCTCACACTTGAAGCGGAAACCAATCCCCCATGATACTTATCCTTTTCTTTCCTCGTTCGAGAAATGCACAACATTTGGTAACTGGAAGTCAATTTAAAAAGATGTAGGAGAGGGTATATTTTGAAGACTTCAAGTAATTAGTCCTATTCAAATATTGGTTTGTAGGAATTAGGTTGATTGGTTACATAATTTCATCATGAGCTGATATCAGTTAGAGAACCGCTGGAAAACTACCTAGGAGTACTGGACAGCCAGCTGTTTCGTCCTAGTTTGGGAGTGTTCATCAGTACGCACCTACCACCCACAGGGGAGTTCGAACCCAGGACCTTCTGATTACAAGGCGAGCTAGCTCGAAGACCATTTAAGCCACTGGGACCCGATCCAATGGCCAATGCATGAATTCTAACCTCTGCCATTTCATGATATAGCGCAACCGCTAGCCAATGTCTTCCGCTGGCGAGTATTTGTCCTCACATCCCAACCTGCTTCACCCTACTAGTCACGACTTCCCACTGGAACCCAAGGTAACTACCTACCTGAATAGGGCCAGTGATAGTTTATCCACCGAAGATTTTGCCTTCTCTCAGGTTCTGTCGTGATTTTCACGAATCCTCAGGTTGAAGACATTTTAAATACTCGCGAGAGGAGAAAACATCATTAGAGGTCATTTTTTAATTGATTAAAACAAACCGAACAAGAGAAATTTGATATGCAGTATAATAATGGAGTTATTTTGGTGGCACAGGTTTCAAACAGATTGCCAAACCTTCCTTGATTACCGCCTAAGCTAAGTTTAGGGGTACGGTTGTCGCAGCCGAACGAGGATGAGGTGTATGTCTAGGGAGTGTTCTACATAATGAACCAGCAAAGCCATCCTACCATGTAGTAAGGGGAAAATAGTGGGAGAAATCCCTTAATTAACAAAAATACTGTTAGTTAATTTATGTCAATCTTATGCTCATTCAAATAGGGAGTCAGTAACCTGAGTTCTAGTGGGAAATCGTGACCAGTAGAGCACAGTAGATCGGGTGTAAGGACAAATATTCACTGGCAACACTAGCTGGTGGTCAGAGTATATCGTGAACCGACAAAAGTTGGAGGGACTAGCGATTGGATTGGGTCCCAATGGCTGAATGGTCTACGAGCTTGCCTTGTAACCGGAAGATTCTGGGTTCAAATCCTAGTTATGGATGCGTAGTGTTGAAGAGTTCAAAACTAGGCAGGCGAAACACCTGTCCAGTACTCAAATGCTGGTTTTCAATGGTTCTCAAACCGATGTCAGCTCATGATACAGTCCTGTAAACAATCAATTAAATCCCTGCAAACAATGTATTTATTTTTCAGTTTACCGATGGTTATTCACGAAAATCGTGATCATCGTTTTACAGATCGTCCTAAAACTAATTTGAGTATGAACTCATACTTCACTAAAATAGAGCAGGCTTAGCCACTAAAAGAATCTTCTTAATACGGTGGATAATCCTTACAGCAATTGATCTTCAAAACGAGATAGAGGTACCTCGGTGACCAGTGATTCAAATCCGATATAGATTTATTTCCGGTTTCTGTTTTGCTTTTTAACAGACAACATTATAATGTGCATTTTAGTATATGGTGTTTCTTTTACTCTAGCTGCCTAATTTTCTTCCATATTTTTGTAATTGGCTTTCTTATTCCCTTGACAATCTAGACGAATTTTCCCCTCTTTATCAGTTGATGTATTTGGATTGTCCCCTGCGGAAGAGTACATCTTCCTTCTTGATATGCTTTTAATTCAACCGCATATATTTAAACATCAAGGTGATAGATGGGTTGTCAGTTGTCAATCGGATGAATTAATAACTCATTCACAACCATTAGGTAAGTAATGCTTATACATATATGTATATATATATGCGTAAAGTTAAAAAATAAAGATCCAACGACGATGAAATGAGTAACGAACGCACCAATCACCTCCCAAAACACTCAGGTGGAACAAGTGATTGAAATTAGCCTCGCATAATCAGCGATCAAAGTAGTGTAATGAATAGTGAAACAGGATTTCTGACTAGTTTTAGGATAAATGACGTTACTGGTTGAATTATGAACCCTCAAATTTACTTTTCTGAGGGCACTTGGTTGCTTCACATACACACACACACACACAAGGTTAAGTTCGCTACCTTGACTCAGTGTGCTTAAACTTCGCCTTCATATATTTATAACATGGATTTAGCATTTGGGTCTGGAAGTTAGCTGTCTGTCTGACTGTCAGTCTAGCAGTTTGCTAGCCGCCTGTTCGAATCTTATCATGAGCAAGATTTTGATTTCATCTTCAGTCAATCAGTCAGTCAGACAGTCAGTTGTCATATTAGATGCGTTCCCTTTGAAAATTATGAAGTCATAATGTCTATAACCAGCTTATTTGGGTACTTTTACGTGCTTTTTTTGAAAATGGGGTAAAATTGAGAAGAAAGTTAATGCAACAACTAAGGATAGTTGAAACAGTGGTGATTCAGGTACAGAATGTCTTCTGGACACAGGTATATGTCTTCTTTAGGTGGATTCCAGTAGTCTCATCTATTATATACAGAAGATGAACTTGTAAAACAAAATCGAAACTAGTTAGGATAAGACAGATACCTTCAAATACCTTGTTAACATCAACTCTATGTTCTAGTATCTCTATTATTATTATATTATCGTTTCTTTTATTTCTTAGAGGAACATAGGGCTTCAGTCGCACGTCTCCATTGCGTGCGGTTCTCCGACAACTTTTTTTATCCCCTGGCTCTACGTCCGCTCACATGCTTTCATCTCCTCTTCACCTGACCACTTCCGCCTCCATGTCATCCTCGCATTAACGACCAACTTACTTGCCTCTTCCTATTCGGACTCCACTTGAGCCATGGCCTGGCATGTGATGGGTGTCACTTGATGACGGTTTTTTTCTCAGAGTATAGCCTTCAATCCACCTCTATTTCTTCCTTCATATTTGTTGCACAGTTGGTTCCTAATGGGTTGGTTCGCTCACTGGTAGAGATTTCCTTTGCTGATCTTTACCGACCATCTGATCTTGAGTAGTATTAAGCGAAGACAGCTGTTGATGAAGGTTTGTAGTTTGCCTGAAGTGCCTTTCGTGACGTGGCTCCAAGTCTCTGATCCGTACGTGTAGTAAGCAGCACTGACTTCACATTGGAGTTGAAAATCTGGATGGTATTTTCATTTCCATACTGAGTGCTGTTGATATCCTCCACACAGACTTGAGAGTAATGAAAGCTTGTCTTGCTTTCCCGATCCTCGTTGCTTTGATATCCTCATCAGTTCCGTCCGCCTGTAGTTGAAACGATGCTTCCCAGGCAGGTAGGTAGGTAGGTGAAGAAGGTTGCTTCTTTTAGATTTCTCCCATTCATTTTGATTGTTGTCTGTTGCTGTTGGCCAGGAATGTTCATCACCTCTGTTTTCTGTATGTTCACCTGAAGTCCTATCTTCTCTGGATGCTTCTTCACTTGCATATATTCCATTTTGTTGGAAATCAGACACATATCACATCGGCGAAATCCAGATCCTCTAAGCTTTTTGTGTGGGTGTGTTTTATTCTTGTCTCCTCGTTGCCTGTTTTCTGTCTGTCGCATTATCCAGTCTACTGCAATCAGGAAAATCATCGGAGGTCTTACTCCCGTCTTCACTTCCCGGAAGGATTCCGTGAGTTTCCTGTTGTGAATTACTTGGCATGCAGCATTATCTTGCAACTGTCGGATAAGATGTATAATTACTGGCAGCACCCCGTAGTAGCGAATTAGTTTCCGAACCACCACGCTGTCTGCTGAAGGCCTTTTCAAAGTCAATGAAGTTGAGATAGAGAGGTGACTACCATTCCAAGCTCTGTTCAGTGATGATCCGTAGTGTGGCGATTCGATCAATACATGACTTGTTTCCCCTGGATCCAGCTTGTTCTGGTCGAAATTTATCATCCAGCGTGGTATGTTTGATTCTCGCCAGGATGATGCGGCTTAGTATTTTGCTTGAGAAGGACAGGAGCATAATTTCGCGCCAGTTCCTGCATTGACCTAAGTCTCCTCTCTTTGGCAGTTTGAATAAGTAGCCTTTCTTCCAATCCGCAGGTACCTTGCCTCTTTTACATACCTTCTTCAGTAGTGTTGTCATCAAGTCCACTGATGTCTATGGGTCCATTCTCTATGCTTCTGCTGGGATTCTGTCTGGTCCTACTGCTTTTCCAGTTTTCAGCATCTTGATTTCCTTCAGGACTTCTGTTTTCGTCGGTTGCTTAACCATAAAGGGTGGTGGCCAGATATCGAATGATAAAGACGTCTTATTATACACTTCACGAGAAGTTGTAGATAAACATATAGGAGCAGACGAAATTAAATATTTTAACTATATTTCTCGAATTTAGAATTGGATTATCTGTGAAAAGAGTCAAAAAACTGCTGCTTCGCGAAGGGACAGTGAAGCTGGTGAATAGGATTTCCATCAGATTAACTTCTGACGTTCAGCACTGTTCAGCGTGCAGTCACTACTTCACAATTAATACATGCATGTAGTTGGACAGCTAACTGTATGTCACGGAGCTGAGAAAGACGTGGAAAGATAACTTTTACGATGTAAAACAGGTCATTTTCATTGTAAAACCGCACAGATGGTTAAGTATTAGTGTCATCAAATATTCATGTGTCTCTATTTGCTAAGTGGCTTCGATGTTCAGA